ATGGGAATGTTCGATTGGCTCAGATTTTGACAGTTCATTTGGCTCAAAACATTCCTTCCGCTTATCTCTCCCTCTGAGTATTTCTAATCAAAACAAGCACACCAAAATTAGTGATGTCCCATTTTTAATCACTCGATTAACAACTAATCGATTAGTTTTTGTTCGATGTGATTTCTTTTTCTACCAATGTGTGTAAAACGGTGGGTGATGATCCTCTGGAGAAGTTAATGCTTATATCGACATGATAAAACCAATTTCAAATATTTTATTTTTCGGTTCGTTAATGATTGAAAATTGGCCATCCTTAGATTAATGAGGAAAGTCAATTCAAATATAAAAGCCCTTCATAAATAATGAGCTAATGTGAAAGAGTCCGGATTTAATCACAAATTACGTCCCCATGGTAACTGAAAAAAAAAACCCGAGCTCTGACCGGTTGGTATGACTCAGTACTTGAAAATGAAACGAAAGCGAAACTTCAAAAAAAATCCGTCTATACCCTTTTTTAGATCACATGCTGTTCTTACATTAATATATAATTTGAAACCATCACTAGTATTTGGTTCGCGATATTTCTTTAGGGCGGATCCCTTAATTTTCATTAGGGCGCTCCTTTTGATATTTAATACTTCAAAATATACGGAAAAATCATAAGTTTCCTCCTGATAGTATCTAATAATACTACAGGAAATGAAATATTGACACTCCATAAGAGCAACATTGCCCCTATGCACCACTAGGGTGTAGGATACATAAGTAAGTAGAAGTATCATTGATACGTTATGTACATCCATCACTAGAGTATGTTTTGAAATACTTCCATAGGGTGGTAAAAAAAAAGCAAAAAACGTACATGTTTTGTATTATTCATTTAATGCTAGGATAAGCAATATTTACGTACTGCAACCAACAATATTTGTACATTTATAAGGTGATTTTTCGGTATTAAAAAACTCAAATTGATGATTTGGCGCCACCCCTAAATCATGTCCGATTGAGCCCGCATTTTGCACAGGGTCTTGTTTCGAGGTAATAAACATTTTGTATCTGGTCGGTTTTGGAAATTCAAGATGAACATTTTCATTGACACCCTAATAGCCATATCCACTCAACATCTAATGTTCTTGCTTTATATTTTCAGCTTCAGCTTGTTCTACTCAAATCCCCCATATCATGATCTGATCTTTTCGGATTCCACGAGAGAGCTGCGTCTTATACCCGGTGATAAACGTTGGTTTGATGCCTATCTTGGTGCAGACTTCTTGCGGGCTCGCCGTATCACCGATTGCCATGCAGGTGCGAGTTCTTTAAAGTTCAACGCATTGAATGTGGTTTTACTAGCACTAGCATTAGTTTTCAAAATAATCGTGTAGATAGTTTACGATGTAGTAATTGTTAAGTATTAATCGATATTCCGTCCGTAGGATTAATATGTACAAACTCGAATAACACCATCCGTCCTAGTTTTATAAAATTTACTAAACCATTAAACTTTCGCATGTTGTATTTTTGAAGTCTGTTGAAGATTGCGCTAAAACATGTTCTCCAAATTGTTATCTGCAGCAAACAAGTGAACCATCCAAACTTTTAGAGACGTAACGACAAGATATACTCGGGCCACAGTAGAGTTACAGTTTTATTAGGTATAGGTACAATTTGAAAATTTATGTAGCAATAAAATATAATGTTCAGAATCTAGTGCCGTAAGTGAAAGAAATTCATATATTATTTGACAGGCGACAGGAGTTAAGCATTTGTGATTCTGAACGCAAAAATGAATAATGATATTTTACATAAAAAAGTCTTTTCATAAATGATGACAGCCGATGACTAATTATTACCACACGATACATTCACGATTCTATAACATTCCCCAGAAAAGCATTGCCCAGAATGAACCATTCCCCAGAAAAGTATGACATGTATTAGATTGACTATTTTTGTTTATTATAGTCACTCCTGGAATCACTCCTTACTATTGATGATACACTCCGTTTCCTTTTATGGATCTTATATTTATCAATTCCAAACCATTTTTTAGCTCTTTAGAAACCTTCAACAACCTTCAAGTTTTCAAGCACTTCGTACATCATTTAAAAAGTCAAAGGGTATATTATGCAATCCAATTCAACCAGTCGGAAACTGTTAAACCTTATCGAAGAATTGATCGATCTGAGTTGAAGAATTTCTCGTGATGGATTAAAAAATCGGTGCATGAACGTTGAACTACCGATTAAAAATTTATAACATTATTCTAACGTTATTATCCCGAATGGGCATTACCCCGAATCCCTTGCGAAAAACTATTGATTATATATTTTCCTTACATATTAAAATAAGAGAATATTCCCTTCTTTATCGTTTATCCAAAGAATTAATTATTTCATTTTCTTATATTTTAAAAGAAGGGAAATCTCCTTGATCCATTAAGAAAGTTTTTTCTCTTCTTTTTATATACGCGAAAGAAGATTCCAGGAGTGACTATAATAAACAAAAATAGTCAATCTAAACAATGGCATACTTTTCTGGGGAATGTTATAGAATCCTACACTAGAACTACTATTTATTGTCTTCTCTTTATCTCTACAAATTCTGCTTCTGCTGCTGCGCTCGATCGGAAAATAAGTGTCTTCTTGCTATTGCTCAAAACCCCACCAAACGATAGCTTGGCTTACCAACAATTTGTAACTTTTTAACAAAATGAATGATACACATTCGAAGTTATGATCCAGAATTCAACCTTGTTAATTTTTTTTGCACAAATCCTTTAAAAAAAGTGAGACAAAGCACGTGTTGTGCTTAGTAGGACGGAAATCAGATCGAAATGGAAAATGGTTTTTGTAATATTAAAACGATAAAATGCTCCATAAACCTTAGAAAAATGCTCATTTAGTGCGTAGGAACTCAGATTCACTGTCCTACATAAGTTTTTTAGTCAGAGGAGCGGACGCCGTACTCTAACAGAACTTATCGATCTATCCTCTTCAGAACTTTCTCTAGCTAATAAATTATCGCACTTAAGGGAGGAAATACAAGTAAAAAATTTTTTTATCGATTTTTTATATTTTACTTTAAAAAATATTAAAAAATGCTACGAGCACGAGGAAGGAGTGATCTATGGCCCCGGTATCGCCGATTAACCGTAAGTTCCAGAAATCATTTTTTTACACAACCCAAAACTTTAAACGCGTTTTTCTCGAAACGGTGTTTTCCAAATTGGCGGGAAAGATAACTGAAAAAGTTCTCATCCAAATGACTTGAAACCTGGCGCATCTATAAAGGAAATAGATTTTTACTCTATGTGAACCACTGATATCATGACAAAATTCATATCTACAGACCTAGTTCGTGAACATTTTCAGGATGTGAGTTTTTCTCATCAAAAAGTATCAAAGTTTGCTTTCATGCGCATAACTTCGGCCTGAATTACTTAATTCTAATATTTTAGCTTGTAATCTGCTGTGCTTTATCTAGAATTATGTTTGGTTTGCAAAAATATAGTGATACTCGCCGGCCAAAAATTATGGTCTGGTGCGTTTGGTATAATGGGCGCTTGGCATAACGAACATTGGCATAATCTCGCTGTGATTCGACATATTTTTTAAACCAAGAGTATGACTATTCCTTCATTTTCATTCACGAGATAAACTAGCCTACGGCTAAAAATCTCAAAAAAAAGTAAAAAAAAATCCTTCATTTAATTGCTCCTCGTTCTTCCTCAAAAATCAAACTGTACTTCTATGGAATTTCAGGAATCGCACAATGCATGAATATTCAAAGAAGGGAGTTTCCTTCTTTGTTAAAAATATTCTAAGAAAAGAACATTATCTTCCTTATCAAAGAAGGGAATACATGCTTCTTTATTAAATATTCGAAGCACGAAATATGTTTACGAGTCAAAGAATAGGAGTAATCTTTGGTTGTAAATTAACTTTTCTAACCTGCTAAGTTTCCGTTATGCCAAACGTCTTTATACTGAATGTACCAGACTCCAAAAATTACGCTTGGTCTCAATGCCCATTCAACCAATTCAAATATTTTCAGTATAATTATTCCCTTTGAATATTTTCAAAATATAACTTTCATATGAATAAAAACAAAAAGTATTGCTTCAGAACCAGCACCAATTCACTATAGGGAACAGATTCTACTGGATATAATTGAACCGGTATTCTTAGAAATAACATGCAATAATTTTGTTTTGGGATCCGATGCAACCCATGTTGAATCAGGTGGAACAATACCATCGGTTTAGCTCGGTTTGGTTACACATGGGTCAATAATTGAGTGGCATGATCTTCGAGTCAATAACTATACCCTGATACTGATCGTCATCAATAAATAATTTTCAGGTCTGCCTAAAGTGGAAAAAAAACAGTGAAATTTCAAATATTTTTTTCTAAATTTTTAAATTGTTTTTTTTTTGGGTTTTAGATGTTCACATAGAACAAAAATCTTTTCTGAATAAGGTCTAATTGATAAAAGTAAGTTTTGTCCATTTTTCAGGTCTCTCGAACGTCCGCCAATTACCAATCCCCACCGGAGACGACCTCCTTCCGATGTGACCGCAAGGAGCCACAGAAGTCACACACCAATGAAAAAAATCTCAAATGTAGAGGAAGATTTAAGCAATTTAATGCTAAAAACGTTTGCGTTGTTTCATTTGCTCACAAAAAAAAATCCGAAAATCGTCGAGTTTTTGACGTGTTACTTGTATTTCCCCCCTCGTTGTTGATATTAGTATAGCATTTTCCTCCCAACTCATAAAATTAAAGCCGTTGAATGATAATTAACGATTTAACGAAAATGAGCCCACCACTGAATATATATTGTATCATACCTAACTCCTAATCAACAACTTTTCGAAATGGATTCTGGGTAATAATTACAGGAGTGGCTAGTGTACCATTCTAGGTTATTGTCGTCCGGGGTAGTGGCATTTGGAGTAATGTCAGAGTAAAAACAATAATTTTTCGGATGCATAAAACAACACCTTTGCCTTACAGTTACTCGTTTTTATTCCATATTTTGTGGATTACAGCGATATATGTTCATGACGTTATTATAATGTAGAGATTGAAATTAAACATTACATAATTTTACAGTTATCCGGTACATTTCATTTTTTTGTCTTTATTATTCGAAAACTCATGATTCTAATGCTTGACTCGTATAAAAATATATGATTCCCGTTATATTTGCTGTCATCGTGCTACTTTTGTTGTTTCATACGGACTGTAACTAGTTTGTTTCGGCTTACCTATCAGTAATTATTGTTTCTTTTTGTTGTTTACAATTTGTGTTTGCTTTGCTTTTGTGGACATAAATATTTACCGATCGATTGATTCGAAGTGATGTTAACGATAACTTCTCAGTGTTACGAATAATTTAACCTACGAACTAATCGATTTTCAAAAATATTACACGTATATATACAAGATTGGCGTAGTAAATTACAAAGTAAAAAGCGAAGAAAATTTAATTCCAGGCGGCTATTCGAGATTCAAATCCAAACGGAAACACTCCAAAATGCTGTCTATATCTGACAAATAAATATCAATCTATAAATAAATAATCGGTACAGAAAAATATTACTCTGGTCGCAAAAAAAAAACAAAACTACAATTTAGCCTCTTCCGATTCGTTAACTGGTACCGCGAAGGAAACGCAATTTACATATTCTGCTAGGAATAATAACCTAGATGATGTTGTATCCATTCACGTTTGATGCTGTTTCATCTTTGGTGGAAGACCGATACGTTAGTAGTAACGTTTCGATAAATCTGTTGCTCTTGCGATGACGCGTGTGTTTGTGAACTAAGGATATGCTTTTATCAATACCCTTATGCTTGGATCCTAGGATGTTACTAAAATCAGCCTTTATATTCCTTCTTTACTTCAATACTTAAAGCCAGGAATTGTTTGTAGACATCTCCCTCACTTCCATTGAGCTTAATATTATCATCAACGCAAACATTTGTCAATCTCTAAAATGTTAATGGACGACATTTACTGTATTTCCTCTTGATTTTCCTATTAGTCGATGTCCAATATAGTTAGCTTCCAATAAAGTATGGTTTATTCATTAATATGTAGAGTACACAAGCTTTTTTTCAGTACAACTGTTGATAATTGATATAGTTGTTGCTTTATTATTCATGGAATTTTGAATTGCTCCTAAAGGAGACTTCAATGTCAGTGCTTTAAGTTTTCATTTTTTTAGAAGAAAATGATATTTTGTTTCTATTGTATACTTTTTTACACAGTATTCAGTTCTGTATATGTAGGTTAAAACTTGATATTTGTTTAAAAGTTTTGAAATGTAAATGAAAAATCGTTCCTTTGGTATAAATTTCGTGAGTATATATTGTTACTGTAAAATTTGTGCTCGTTTGAAGACACAATGAAGAATAAAACGAAAGCGTGCTTTTCAAATACGTACTTAACTTGAATGAAAGCTTTTCAAATATTACTCGTTGCGGTATAATCGCTTCCAAGTGCAGTAACCTCACTTATTGTTAAATCTGCCACTTCTTTACTAATCGTCTGTAGTGATATTCAGCAATCTAACTAATACAGCAATGATTGAACCAATACTAAATACACGTTAGTTATTAGATAACACTTCTAATATGTATAATCAACTTTTATTTATTCATGGTTACTATTTTGTTGGATTTTAATAAAAATATTTTGATTACAATCAGTTCTTTAAAGACTTCACCCATCCCCGTTCAATTTTATTACGACGATACTCTTTCCTTCGACTAGCGAAAATAAATCAACAAATAATATAACTGTAAATTGAAATTAAAATCCCGCTGATTTCTCTTGTTCCGTTGGACGAAAAATGTGTTGTTATAAAGACAGTGCCTGTTAACTGAAACAGATTGCTAGGGACATATCAATCTGCGAGCGTAAATCTGTGGCACTGATTTGATGAGCACACAGGATTTCTTCTTTCTTTATTCTCGAAAAAGTTGAATTTGGCTTGATTTGATCTGTCGATGGTGTTGTGCTCTGATTTAGTGGATTTTCGGTGCACTTCGGTCGTTAATCGTTCGATTGCGTTTCAGCGTTGCACCACGCTTGATTTGATCCATTAACGATTCGTGACATATCCGTGGGTCCGGCTGAAATGATGAAAAGGTGATGTTAAGAATATTGCTCAATTTATTTGTTCGTTTTTTTTTTAAATATATTAAAGATTATTTCAAAATGGTAGTTTTTTAGTTCGAATTCTCTAGACCAGGAAGTACACTGGAGTCGCTTTTTACGCGGGTGATACGTCCCGCGTAAATTCCGGAATCCGCGTAAAAAAAAACCGCGTAAATTCCGAAATCCGCGTAAAAAAACCGAGTAAAAAAAGACCGTGTAAGAAAAAACCGCGTAAAAAGCGATGTACCGCGTAAATTCTGAAATCCGCGTAAAAAAAAACCAAAATCCGCGTAAAAAAAAAAACCGCGTCAATTCCGGAATCCGCGTAAAAAAAAACCGCGTAAATTCCGAAATCCGCGTAAAAAAAAACCGCGTAAAAAGCGACTCCAGTGTAATGTCGTTTTCGTTTTTGCGTGTTACACTGCCGTACACCGAAATATTTCAGGGTGTAGATATAGGATGCACTTTTGTTTACAAACAAATGATGTTGAGCTGTCAAAGACTCGCTCTTATTCCTTTTTACACTACACCAGTGCTACACCGCAAAAACGAAAACGACATAAGATACAGAGCAAACGGGAGAGGAACTCTAGACTAACATATGAAAAGGGCGTAATTCCAAAATGACCATATCGAGAAAATCGCTTCTGAATTTTGTTGACCTAAAAATTAATCCTATTTCACGACTTTCCATTTTCTGGTTGATTTTATAAGCTTGACAGCGAATCCAAACACATAAAGCAACCAACGATACAGACAAAACGGTTGCTACGACTACCATGACAAACTCGCTCTGTAACAAAGCTCGATCCGAGTGGTAGAAGGATAATGATATATTGCTTGCCTGCTTTGTTGCAATATACACGGATGAGGACATAGCTTGATATGAATCGGGAAAAGACATAACAAAAAAATTCCCATTAACACACGTGTATCATCTTCGGCTTTACTTCGTGAAGCAGCTTGCCAACAATTTGCTCGTTTCCTTCTACCGCCCCGAATGAGTTGTGTCGCACGGGCTGCTTGTCATGAAAAAGTACAAAGAAGATTATATCATTATTGCTTTCCACTTCTGACATAGCGTCGGTTCGTTGATCGCTTGTCATTTTTTCTTGAAAAACTAAAAACTCAAAAAAAGTTTTCTTTGTTGTGAAATTGAGAAGAAAACATCATAGGCCCTGATAATTTTATACATGTTGTTACCCCCCAGATCTTCCACCCTTTGAACTGCCAACACTGGTGATACATCGGATGCATTTCAAATGAATCGGGCGTGACTAGATACTACAGAATCAAAACATTTGGCATATTAAAACGATATAATTCGTAGTTCTGGTGCAAGACGTAACAACCAGATTCATCATAGAGTTGAAAGTTGGAAATACGCCATGTAAGAAGAAACATTTTTGATGATTTGAAGTGATATTTTCTTCTACTTTTTCGTGTTTATCGAGTAGTTTGTGAACTATTCTCTCTATATGTGGCAAAATATGGTTTGTTTACATTTTGGCTCTTCCGCCCCTTTCAAATGTTAGTCTAGAACTGAAGGCTAAATCACAAAAGGTCGAATCGCTATTAGGTTTTGCAGCGTAACGTCACAAATGAACTCTGTTAATCGGCTGAACCTTTTTGACAGTTCAGTGGTACGCGGGTAAACGATGTTGCTCGCGGACATTGCAAAAGTGTGGTTTCCATCTCATTGCAGTCTAAACAATTATCGAGAAAATCTACCCAAGAAAAATGGACTAGGTCCACGTAAACAATACCACTGAACTGTCACCGGATTGAGGTTAACCCCAGCGGGGCAAAATCTTATATTAAAATTCGTGCCAAGACGCCATATTTAAAATACGTTAAACACTACCGTCATCTACTCACACGATCGCGTCGTATCATGAGCAAGAATACGAACCCACGTACAGTTTATATTGCCTTGGATTGCGTCTAACCTCGTTTGACAGGTCCGATCACCCGTTTAAAGTTCGAATCACTCCTTTGGCACACCAACACTCCAAGGACATAGATAACAAAACAGAGAAGATTCCTTCGCACACTACTACGAAGCAGTGAACCAGTTCCAACCCAGTGTGAAACCGAACTTTTTGTCAGTGCGAACCTGAACCTGAGGTAGGTTTAAAACGTTTGACGTTTGTTAGAAAACAAGCACAGCCGATCTTGATACCCGATCCAGGTTGGAACTGAATAATAAACAAATTCGCTATTAGTTATCAATTCAAGCTAAACCTAGAATAATATGTCAAAGTTTGTTATACAGTTCCAAAAAGTATGTTTTTATTGGAAATGCTAGTGCTAAAATGATAAAGAATAACATTTGATAACGGCACAAAAGCATTTGTAAACAAACTTTCTAAGGCGCTTTAAACGCGAACCAAACTACGCCCACGCAAACCAACATCATCGAATAGGGACAACTATCACCTTTCCGAAAATGGTATTGGTTTGCGTGGGTTCGTGTACTTTGGTTCGCGTGAAAGGGCCTTAGAAAGTTTGTTTATAAATGCTTTTGTGCCGTTATCAAATGTTATGCCTGAAATGGGCAAATATAGACAATTTCAATATAAGATCGGTACATTACATACTGGCAACAAGGCTGGTTGTGAAACTAGAACTGATCAAGAGAAACTTTTCTGCACGGATTAAACAAATGGAAAAATCATAGAGGCTGCAAGCAGGCTGTTCTTTAGCCCCTAGAAAACGGTTAGTATTCGGGATGGAATTTACAGTGATTAACATGTGATCAATCATTTCACACACGTTAAAAAAAACAGCCTGATAGGCAGAGCTTGCGTTCCCATCATGAATCTGATGCAGAGTAGCTGGCTCGGACAGTGGAGAAAAGAAACGCGTGCGGTTCACAAGGGTGACAACTATGGAATGATCTTTATTCAGTTTTAGATTCGTAGCAGAGTGGTAGCAAAGTAGTGTGCGTGTCAGTGTGTGCGTTACATCGAGTGTGGATAACTGGGATAAATTAGAGTCGGTGTATAATGAGTCACGCCAAGAGTGAAGCCAAGTCTACCTATTGAACTGTCAAAGCGGATACCTATCGTGCAAAGTAAATAAACATTACGATGCTATGAAAGGTTCACGAAAGGTATTGCAATAAAATATAAAATATAATCGAAGAAATGAGCATAAATACGCAGTGAGCTTTAAATTGTCATGGGATACGCTCGGTAATGATTAGTAATGAGAATTTCTACTATTTTTTGTTAAGATAATTTGACAAAATCACTGATATAATGATTTACTACAGCCGCAGTATTGTTTCTCTCGCTAGAAGTCAGTTGAAGTTGTTGTAGAAGTCCTCTGTTGCCAAGTGAAAAGAATTGGAATCTTTCGAAAACCGTGATGCGAGTTCAACTGTTTTTCTCTTGGCGTGACTCATTATACACCGACTCTAGGATAAATGAGATAAAATAAAATGTTGCACTCAAAGAAATTGTGTGGTTTAAATTGACAACGGTGCCACACGGTTGTGTAGCCCGTCACTCCTCCTCAACGTTGTTAGTTGGATGTCTCCGATGGCTCCTTAACGCCGATGGCAGATCGGTGCCTCTCCAGCTTGATTCGGTCCAACGGCTTCGTCATGAGGTCCGCCTCCATGCGCTCGGTTGGCATGTAGCGGAGTTCGATGATTCTCTGCTGTTGGAGGTCCTTGGTGTAGGCATACTTGGTGTCAATGTGCTTAGAACGCCGTTCAAGACGGTCCGATTCCACGATCTTTATGCACGATTGATTGTCTTCCCAAACGATGATCGGATTGGGTGGTGCTTGCTTGATGTCGTTGAGCAACTTCCGGTACCACATGAGCTGCTGGCAACCATCCGCCAGCGCGACGAATTCTGCCTCCGTCGAGGACAGGGCGACACACGACTGCTTTCGAGTGCCCCAGTCGACGAGACCACCGCCGAACTTCAGGAGGAACCCGGAATGTGATTTCCTATCACTTTCGTCGCCGGCCCAATCGGCGTCGACAAAGCATTCCGTTTCGCCGGATCCGGAACCCAGGTGCAAACGATGGTTCTTCGTGGCCTTGAGGTAGCGGAGAACCCTCTTCGCTTCGGTCCAATCTCGGTTGGTCGGGTGGGTGACTTTTCTTCCAAGCAGGGAGACGGCCACGCAGATATCCGGCCGTGTGTTCACCGCGACGTAGAGCAAACTTCCTACCAAACTGCGGAACGAAGCGTTTGTAGGCAGGTCGGTCTCCTCCTTTTGCTTGAGGTACGCGGGATCGATTGGTACCTTAGATGGCTTCGCGTCGTCGTGTCCGAATCGGCGTGCCATCTTCTCGATGTAGCTGGCTTGGTCGAGAGTGTAGTGGTCACCAACCTTTTCGACGCGTAATCCCAGGAACTGCTTAAGCTCGCCGAGACAGGAAAGCTTGAACTTGTCTTGTAGCTGCCGACGAATTTCTTCAAACTCGGCCTCGGAGTTGCAGACGACGAGCAAATCGTCGACGTACACTAGGATGTAGCTCTGCTCCCCGTTGCGATTTCGGATGTACAGGCACGCGTCGCTATTCGCTGGCTTGAAACCCATGGACTTCAACACTCCGTCGATCATCCTGTTCCAGGCTCGGGCGGATTGCTTGAGCCCATAAATGCAGCGTTTGAGGCGACATACCATACCATCGTTTCGGTCGAAGCCAGGTGGTTGCTTCATATACACCTCCTCTTCCAGATCGGCGTACAGGTAAGCCCTTCGGATATCCAGGTGCTTGACTAGCTTTTGCTGCTGGCTGGCCAGTACGAGGATGGTCCGAAGGGTCGTTTGACGGACGACCGGGGCGAACACCTCGTCGTAATCCTGGCCGAACTTCTGGGAGAATCCCTGCGTGACCAGTCTCGCCTTGTGCCGCACTACCTGCCCGGTTTCATCTTCCTTCTTCTTATACGTCCACTTGCAGCCTACCGGTTTGCGCCCAGGGGGTAGGGGGACGAGTTCCCAAGTG